GATACAGAAATCAAGTGATGGGTGAGATTTCTAATCCCCATGTACTGACAAGCTATTGATTAACTATAGTTTTGTAGGACACTATTTTTACTAGTGATCTAATGGATTGTCTTGTTTTTTTCTTTCCCAGAAGATCTTTCCTAAGCCATTTTTGGACTCCAGCCTTAAGTCTTCATGGGGCTACTTTGTTTACCTTCTGAGCTCTGAACTCAGGCCAGTGCTGCTGGCTGCTCATCTTTAAACCATCACGCGCCTTCCTCAGTCTCCTTGCCAGGAAATGTGTCAGCTGCTCTTCAAACTCCAGAAGTCTGCTCCCAGCAAAGTCCTCAGGCTGTGAAGCTTTCACATACATGGATGTGGGAGCAGTCACCATGCTTCCTGGCGGCCCCCTTTTGCAGGCAGTCTGCCCCTGTACACTGACGTAGTGAAGACTGCCAGAGTCACACACATGGCATGGCTCTGTTGTTACTTGGCAGAATGAGTGACCCCAGGTGAATAATGTAACTTCTCAAGCCTCAATGTACTCTGATGAAAAATGGGAGCATTCATGATGCCTTCATTATAAGTGTGTTGTAAATCTTAAAAGAATCAGTCAATGCGCAGCTTCTAGTGGGATGCTTGACACATGAGTACTCGATATTTTACTAATCATTATTACTAGAAGTAAACTACAAACTATACAAATTCCTATTTCTAGTATTTTGTTTATCTCTTTTAGAAAAGAAAAAAATTCTCTTTGCATTGCTACACAGGAGCTATTGGCTGCCTATAGATTTTGATGTTTTGTCTTAGATAGGCAATAGTCAAATCTCACTTAGACATGAGCACTCCTGTAAAACAAAAATGCACACACCAGTTTACATGCCGTAATATACTCACATACTCACTTGTAAATTGGGACTGGCGACCCCCGAGCCCACATTGCCGTATTTTACAACCTCGGAAGAGCCCATAGTAAATGTCCCCGATGAATTTGACCAGTTCTGGGTCTGTGGCATTGACCAAATCCACTCCAGTTTGACACAGGATCTTCCCACTCAACCAATGGGGCACAGCCAAGGCAACGATGATCAGAAGGAAGGAAGAGAAGCTGAGTAGAGACGCCAGCCCGTACCACGCCTTTTTGAACCATCCAGGCATGCTAGTGAGTGCAGATCATCCTCCAGGGCTCTGGGCAGCAGTAGGGCAAGTGGTCATCTTCAGACACTCGGTGATAGCCAGCTCCATACACACCAAGTCAAGACTTCCAGTCCATCTCCTCATCCTCCTTCAGTGCCTGCCTCCTCAGCTTGTGTTTACTACATGCCCATCCCAGCCTCTGCAGGTGATCTTCCCCTGACTCGATAGAGCAGAGTGTGTTACCCAAGGAAGTAACCCTATATCTCCCACTGGACTACGGTTTCAGCAGAGGCTTAATTGTTCCTCCGTTCGAGTATTTAAGTAATCGTGATGTGGATGCCATAAGGACCAGAGAGTTATTACCAAGCAAAGCCAGGGAGAACTGCTGACAAAGGATGCTAACTAGACTTAAAAAAATAAAAATTGCATGGCAGAAGCAAAGCAGAACGGACCCATCAGCGCTCACATGTGTTAGCGACAATGTGCAGGATCAAATGTCGATCTCTTCCAGGCGTGCCCTGGCATTTCTTTCTCTAAAATGTCACTGCTGTCAGAGTCTCTGGAACTGTTACCAATACCATTAATCAACCCTGGTTCATAAGGCTTAAATTGAAATGTATGAATTAGAACTGTATGGATTTGTTGCTGGATGAACGGTAACATGAAATCTGTTTATTGTGATCACAGGGACATCCTATCCCCTGCTCCCACTTTTCCATGGCATCTGACATGGGCCAGACACCTTTATTTCTTTTTCTTTTTGTACATCCTCCCAATGCATCTCAGACTTTGATTTGCAGGAAGTCCTTCCTTAGCTTTCTGGGCATTAGGATTATAGGAGCAAGGCACCTGCCGGGCTGAGAAGTTATCAAAAACTCAAGATAGATCTATCTATCTATCTATCTATCTATCTATCTATCTATCTATCTATCTATCTATCTATCTATCTATCTATCACCTATCTATATCATCTATCTACCTATTTATCCATCCATCCATCCATCCATCCATCCATCCATCCATCCATCCATCCATCATGTATTATGTATGTATGTATGTATCATCTATCTACCTACCTACCTATTATCTATCTATCTATCAATCATCTATTTATACATCTATGTATCTTTCATCTATCATTTGTCAATCATCTATCTGTCATCTATCTATCTATCTATCTATCTATCTATCTATCTATCTATCTATCTATCTATTCATCCATCCATCCATCCATGTATGTATGGAGCAAAATTGGGCAAAGGCAGCTCAATAAACTTTCCAATGTTTCCTATAGCTGGAGGGGCTTCTGAAGTTACATTTGTTGGTCAGTAGGAACCTGAGATTTTCTTGGAGATATGGACATGTAATAGAAGCGACATGTTATAGAAGAGAAGTCCTGCTCATGAGGGGACTCACTAAAGTAGCCTCTCCATAATGGAAAGAGCAGTATTTCTGAAGCTTGTAGGGAGCTCTAACAGACAACAAAGGGCTTTAGTGTATGATTTTGCATTTCTGATGCTCCAGCAACCCCGTGGGCCAGGCCACTCTTTTTCTTATGGGCAAAGTAATGGAGACACTGGGCTGGAATATGGGTCTTTGAAATACAATGGCTTATCTTTACCACAGTGGCCTGGAAATAAAAAAAATGTTTATCTGCCAACAAATGACACAATGCATATAAGAGCCCTTGAAGACTATTTGGCGTATTAATATATGACAAATAATATTAGCTGATATTCTTAGTTTAACATTAAAGGTATATTTAGAAGATAGGATGTACTTATGACTTGGAGTTACAATTCTGTGTTAAATGATGGGCTTATATCAACTTTCAATGTTTTGAGGGCTTTCAGAAAAAACTCTATGAGTTAATGCCTGAGTTCTAGCAAGCTCATGCCGTGCTGACTCAAGTGCTGGTTGAGAGGAATTCCAGCTATCAAAGACCAGATTCAAAGTAACTCTCTTAGGCAGGTGTTTGAGACTCCCATGTATTTACAGCCAGTCATAGGACTGTTGTGTGCAGAAAAGTGAACTTGTACACATAGATGGCTTAAAACTGTCTGCCACGAGGAGGGCACTACATAAATGTGCCTTTCGCTCCCTCTAGGTTTCTCAACAATTCTATTTTGGATGGTAATGCAGCTCCTGACAGTGGAATGTTCTGCCAGCCACATCCTGATGTCTGCTGACATAGGTCTTCAGGTCTCACCTGTTACAGATAAAACTGTGTTGTCTACAAGGCATCCTGTGGGCTGGAGGTGCACAAAGAAGTTCAATATACTATCTGTTTCCGAAGGCTACAGCAGAGACAGATAGCAGTTCTTAGCTCAAGGTGATCTTTACCCCTCAGGGAAACTTTGGCAATATTTAGAGTGTTTTTTTCTCCCTTCTTCTCCCTCCCCCTGGCTCCAGGGATTGAGTTTAAGTCTTTGGGCATGTTAGGCAAATGCTTCATCATTGGGTTACATCCTTAGCACTCTTTTTATTTTGAAACAGGGTCTCATTAAGTTACCTAGTCTGGCCTTGAGTTCAGTCTGTGGTCCAGGGAGACCTTGAGCTCGTGGTCCTCTTGCCTCAGCCTCAGTATCTGGGATTCCAGGCTTATGCTACCAGGCCTGGCTAGAGATAGTTTTGATCTTTATGACTGGGGGCAGGGGCTTGCTATTGACTCCTAGGGTTAGAGTCCAGAGATGCTGTGAGTACTATAAACAGACCGGCCACTCTCAGTTCCAGTTATCTGGTGCTAAAGGTCAGCAGTGCAGTTGTTAAGAAACTCTGTGCTCATGAGCAGAAATCATTAACCTACCAATGGTGGGTGACACAGGATCTGTTGGGGGAAGGTTGGCATCATTTGGTGGGTCTCAAATGTAGATCCAGGATAACCCTTGCTTACACGTAGCCAGAGAGGTGTAAGGACAGACCTAAAACTTACCATAGCTAAATTTGTGCTCCCACCAGACTAAGCCTCTTGTGCTATCTACTAATACTATTTTAAATATAGTAACAACTCCCCACCATATTCTCTGTTTTAAAGGCATGAATTCCAGAAATGGAAACATTTAAACTATAGAGCACTACAAATTTTGTATCACTGTTTTGGCAGATTTTCACCTTTAAATGCATCCCCAGATAGACAATTTGTCTTCCATTTGGAAAAAATGTAACAGACGTCTAAGAGGTTCAGTAAATTTTAATAACCAGTACCGATAAGACTAATACTGATAGCCGCACACTGCTCGATGTACCTTTCACACTCTTTCCTCCAACTCTTAGAGGCACAGACTATTATTCACATTTTATTAGCGAGGATCAACTGAGGCACAGAAGAACTGAAGGAATTAGTTAGGCCACACAGCTATTAGGCAATGGGGTCAAGCAAAGTTCATACTTTTATTTGGGGGTTAAAATATTTTAGGTGGTCTACTAAGTGTCTGCAATTACTTTCAGCCACTTAGCTTCTGCACCACTGAACTCGTGTTCCTGGCTGGGGCGTGGCGCTCCTAAAAGATCGCTTGCCTGAGGGCGGAACTTTGCTGCTGTCCACAAGGCTGGTAGTGTTCCGAGCTTAGAAAGTGCTGCGCGCCTACTGGCCGACAAGCGAGGGCGGGTCACAGGGCCGAATGTAGAGCAGGCGCCTAGGTAGCTACGCTCCTATTGGCTCACGGGCGGCGGAGGCGGGGCAGATGGGCGGGGCGCAGTAGAGAGCGCGTACCTAGGCGGCTGAGAGTCTCCGCCCTCACCGAGGGGAGGCGTGGTTTAATGTATCTCCGCCTTAGGGCGGGGCACAGTCGAGATCACGCGCCCCAACTGGCGCCCTCCTATTGGCCGAAGTGGGAGGCGTGGCTCGGCAATGGCTCCGTCTCCCGGGGCGGAGCTTCGGGGGCGGAGCGCAGGTAGGGGCGGGCAACCCACTTGAGTTCCGCGTGGGATAGCCGCTGCCACCGCAGTGCGATCGCGCTTGGTCTTTCGTACGTCCCGCGGGAGCCTGTCAGGAGAAGAATGGCAGCTTCGGGCGAGGCGCGCCGGGTGCTGGTGTACGGCGGCCGGGGCGCGCTGGGCTCGCGCTGCGTGCAGGCCTTCCGAGCCCGCAACTGGGTAACGCTGCGGGACGGCCGCTGCGAGCGGCAGACACTTGGAGAAGGGGGTGGGTGGGAGGGATTACCCTCCCTGTGCACCCTTGACTAGGCTACGCTCGCAAGCTCCGGTCTGTTCTAGGCCAGAGGTGTCGAGCCTTTGCCCTGCAGGGAGCGTGTGGTGTAGGTGCTCCTTAGGCTTCCTCCAGGCCCAGAAGGTCCAGCATGACTCGGGAGGGGAGAGGCAGAAGGGAGACTCTGGAGTTGGGCTGCCCGAAGTTATTAGCCCAGTGACCTTGAATTGATTAACGCCCTCTAGTCTCAGTTTCCCAGTAAAATAAAAGTGACGATAATGTTCTTGTTTACTTTTGGGTCGATCGTGATGGTTCAATGGAATAACACGTAAAAGCCTTTTAAATGCTAGCTGTCACCAATACTGCGGCTAAATTTTATTACCCGTGTTGCTTTAGCCCTGTTGGATCTGGCAGTCGAAGGCTCAAGTCCGCAGCTGCTGACATCTTTGCTTAGTTAAGGATATTTCAACTACTTTGCCTAGTCAGGTGTCCACTCCCAGAGGACAAATGGGCACGGAGCTGATCTTGGCTCCAGCCTCTTAGCAGGGATCAGCATGGTTCAGCACAGGAGACTTGTCCTAGAGTCAGCCCTGGGGCTTTGGAGCACCTTCCTGAGAGTTTAGTTAGCAGAAGCAGCAGCCTACTACTGCAAGGGATCCCCTGGGATCGAGAGAAGGGCCCAGGAGTTTGTCCTGGCTTCAGTGTGGTACAAAAATAATATCACTATCTGTTTAGAACATTGGAAGACTGGGGTGTCTTTCACGATCTGCGAAGATGGAGGGTGGAGACAAAGGCCGCATTGAAGGTGTGGCTTTGTCTGCCTCAACTGGGCCCTGTATCCTACCTGTCAGCTTTCTCTGACTTCATTGATCCCCCCCCCCCTCCACTGGTTATCTTTTATTGTCACATTGACAACCTAGAGTCACCCTGGAAGAGGGAACCTCAGTGGATGAGTTGCTCAGCTGATTCGCCTGTGGCCGTGTCTTTGAGAGCTTATCTTGATGGATAATTGATGTGAGAGGACTTAGCCTGTTATGGATGGCACTATCTCTAGGCAGGCTGGGCCTTGGCTGCATAAGAAAACAGCTGAGCATGAGCCAGGGAGCCAGCTACTAGCCAGGGTCCCTCCTTGGCCTTTGCATTGGGTCTGCTGTGCTAATTTACCCCCAATTCTGTTTCCCTTTCCTTCTTGGCACCCTAGGGAGGGCTGGGGTGGAGCCGACTTTGTCTCAGTATTATTCCCCATGGTTTGTGGTATACAGGTAATGAGTGTTGTTGAATGATGCTGTACTTGCAGCTAAAGATAGATACTGACCTCTGGGGTCTTCAGCCTGAAGGACCCTGGAGGTTTCTGCAGTCAAACTCAGTGATGCTAGGAGTGAGTATCCTCCATCTCATTTTGTTCTTATTCTTACTAACCCTGTTAATCATTCACCTGCTTTCTTTGATGAGGAAGATTGGCACTTTATGGCTGAGCCAGCATTAGTACCTGAGTTGGGCATCTACACTGAAGGCCCATCTGTCTACTGCAGAGCTGGGGCGACTTCCATAGGACAACTGGACAGCTATCCATCTCTATGCACCCAAGAGTTGTGGAGGGTTTTACGCTTGAAATGGTTTTATAAAATAAAAAGAATAACAACATGTGGCGTGTGTAGTTTATATTTCGGCATCTGGCATTTGCAAGGATGGCTCATCCAGGCCCCACTCCTCCATATTGTTTGTAGCCGACTCCTGTGCTAGCAGGTTTAAGTATTTGTGGCAGAGATCATAGGCCAGCAAAGCCTTTGGTTCTCACTATGGGCTCTTTACAGAGGCTCTGCTGACTTCGGGTGTTTCTAGGTACATGTAGAGTTTGGCCTTCAGAGTCCAGCAAGGAAGAGGAAGGAACACCATGACTTGGGGTGAATGAAGTGTGGTAGGAGGTGGGTCAGCCGTAGTCAGTGGCCCCTGAAGGATGCCTGGGAGATCAGTTGTTATTTCCTTTCTCTAGTGGCTTTTTGTTTACATGGTAAGCATCCAAAAATCTGAGATGCTTCTAAATCTGAAGCTTTTTAAGGACTATGGGATGCCCCAGCTGAGAAGTTTCATGACATGAAACCTATTGCATGTTCAAGATTATTAAAAGCACCATGTAAAATTTCTTTTAGACCGAGTATACAATGTATATGAAATGTGCATATGAAATGTGGATTTTGTGTTTAAACTCCATTCCTATTCCCAAGATAAGTATATGCAAATATTTCAGAATCCCAAGTTGCAAACTGGAACATTTTTCTGTCCCATGCATTTCAGTTTGAGCCTCTTCACTTTCCCTGTTGTTCCCAATTCTGGGTGTAGCTCTTTCGAGAAGTAACAACTCACTGACTGTCACCCCAAACTGTTTTTCTTGCTCCAGTGGGTCGCCAGTATCGACGTGGTGGAGAATGAAGAGGCCAGTGCCAGTGTCATTGTTAAAATGACAGACTCATTTACAGAGCAGGCTGACCAGGTAATTCTAAAAGGCCCCTCACTGTGACAGGAGAGGCCCAGGGTGGGTTTCTCTGGCTGTGTCCTTTGTCTGCCAATTCCCAAATCCTCCAAGGAAAACTTAGAAAAAGCGGAAAACAAAACTAAAAGCAAAAACAAAGCTAAGTTTTAGGATCCATTTCTGACTAGCTTATTTTGGCATGTTTCTTTGTCTTTATTTTGCATGCTGTGTGTGATAACTGCTTTTGCATGTCATATGTTTTATATTGATGTTAGATTTTTAAAACTTTACCCTTTAGTTGAAATACTTTATCTCACGTAAATGCTTTGTTGATGTATAATATTTTATTTTGCTGATTGGCTATGGCTTACTTAGTTTCTCTTTATTGTATGCCTCAGTCTTTTTTCTTAATTAAGTTCATTTTTTGTTTGGTTTTACTATTTAACAAGAATAGTGTGGTTAGACATCTTTGTCTATCTGATATATTTTGAAAAGTGAAGTTAACCTTGTTCAAAGATAAATACTAGCAATATATTATTTTCAGTTATGAAATTATATGCAAATTGTGAAATAGGAAACCATATAGAACTTTAGAAATATGTAAATAAATGGTAATTCTGCCTTTTCCTCCAAGATAGTGCTGCTCCTCAGAAGGACCACCATTGCCATCTGGATGGATTTTTTTTTTTTTTTTTTTTTTTTTTGGTGGATGTTTTAGTATGAGTATCTTAGAGGTTCTTAAGTGGGTCCTCCCTCTGGAAGATCCCTTCTGATCCTCTGCCTGGAGGACTCAGGCCAGTGTTCCCACCCTCATTCTCAAGGAAATCCCTGCCTCCTTCCCTGTGTGTTGTACTCTGTTTTCAGGGACTCCTGGATAGGCAGGTGGGCCACTTCACAGTGGGGTCACTAGGTTTCAGCCAGTAAGTGACAGTCTGAGAAGCTAGTTAGTGCTAGAGTTAGGCCAGGAGTTCCCTGATACGAACTCAATCTGTATGTGGGTCTACCTTGCTGTGTTCTCTCTGGTGGTCTCAACGATTCGTGTTCCTTGGCTGTTTTAAACCACAGATGTGGGAAAGACTTTCAGAGAGTTCCTGGTCTTTGCCTAAGGTCACGCAGGTAGGAGAGTGGCAAAAGCTATTAGCTATGGTTTGTGCCTGGGCAGTGGATTTTATGGTTGTGCTTTTACCTGCCTCAAAGCAATCACGTGGATAAAGCAGTGAAAGCGGAAACTCGGGAGAAGAGCAATGCGTGGGCTTGGAGAGCCGTAGTCCTTCCAAGTGTGGGTTCTGCCTTCAGCATTTCCTCAGTTCTGAGGTATACGTTCTGACGGCAATGTGGGTTTATTTACTCATCATTATTATTGTTAGTTTTGTTACTGGAGGCGGGAGAAAGGGAGGCAAATGAATGATTAAGAGTGTTAAAGTGGGCGTAAATGCTGTAATTGATGTACGGAGGTCAGAGGGCAACTTTTGGTAGTTAGTTCTTGCCTCCCACCCCTGGATCCAGGGGCTAAACTAACTAACAGGTCTATATGGGAAACACTTTTATTTGCTGAACCATCCTGCTAGCCACCATATAGGTTTTTGAATGTTGAGCCTTGACTAAATAGAATGTTGAGCCTTGACTAGATAGAATGTGTCAGCAGGGCAAAATGTGTTATTTTAATCCTAGCTTTTTAAGATCTCTACTTCTCTTCATCTCATTGTGAGTCTCAGAGTCAACTACATGATACTTGGATTTTAATTTTGAGGCATCGGAAGAGAAAAGTTAGTCTTAGTGCATGTGAAATTGGTCCCCTGGTCAAGACATTCAACCAGGGGGAAGAGATGCAGAACTAAGAATAGAATTGACTCTAGAAGTTTAAGAGGCTGCAATTTGGAACTGCCTTACTTTATTACATGAATGAAGCGTAGGTTAAAGTCAGATGGTCCATAGCTGCTGCTTGTTCTGTGCTCCCTTGAAGAGTAGGCAGCGTGGCATGGCTCCTGTACTCGTCCAGATGTGGGGAGTTGATGCAGCCTCTGGCAGTCAGGGTCTAGTCAGTGGTTCTCAACCTTCCTAATGCTGGGACCCTTTAATGCAGTTCTTCATGTTGTGGTGACCCCCTGCCATAAAATTACTTCATAATTGTAATTTTGCTGCTGTTGTAAATTCTAATGTAAATGTATGTGTTTTTCTATGGTCTTAGATGACCCCTGTGAACTGGTTGTTTGACCCCCAAAGGGCTCATGGTCCACAGGTTGAGGACTGCTGGTCTAGGTTCTGGCCTGAGAGACTTGGCTTCTGAAAGAAGGGGAGGGGGGCTCTAAGATTGTTCAAGGTCATAGGAGGAAGGTCAACAAATAATATAGTCAGAGTAGGTAAAAGACACAGGATTCTAGAATCTGCATGAAAGGAAAGCATTAAGTGTGGTTCTCTGGAAAAGCTTGATTTTCACTGGCTGGACATTCCCTTTGAAGGAACAGTTTGAGGCTTCAGAAAAGAAGTAATAGTTCAATGGAGATGTTGTTGGAGAGACTCCGGGTCTTGGTACGAGTTTTCAAAAGAGAGAGCATACTGAACACTTCAGAGGCATTACCTCAGACATTCCAGCCAATAAGAGCCACAATGGTTGGCCAGCATGGCCTGCATGCCAGACTGCCCTTTTAATGAACGATAATGAGAGTGTATGGATATCTTCTCAAGGTTTTAACATTTCAAACATAGAGACCATTGAAATTAACCCCATGTACTCAGCATGTACTAGCATTTCTCAATGACTCTCATTTTCTTGCTCTTGTGATTCTTAATGATATTTCTTTGTTAAAGATGTTTTTGTGCTGGGTGGTGTTGGCACATGCCTTAAATCCCAGCACTCGGGAGGCAGAGTCAGGGGGATCTCTGTGAGTTCGAGGCCATTCTGGTCTACAGAGTGAGTTCCAGGACAGCCTGGGCTGTTACACAGAGAAAACCTATCTCAAAATAACAACAACAACAACAAAACCAAAACCAACAACAACAACAACAACAACAAAACAAAAAAACCCCAATGTTTTTGTTTGGAGTTGGGGTGGGGTGAGTGGAATGGAACCTTCTCCTATCAGGAGCCTGTGATTCCTGAAGAAGATTTGGAAAGGAACATACCAGAACCTCACTTGTTTGTCATGCGGCTCTAGTGATTTTCTTAAGCCCCTTTCCCCCCTTTCTTTATGTTTAGATTTCAGGAAGTGCTCATGCCTTTTAGAATTGTCACATAGAGGCCCCCCCCTTAGGAAATTCATATTAAAAAGTTGTTGGTGTCACGGTCCAAAATGCATGGAACTTCTTCCATATAATTTCCCCAGCCAATTGTGAAGTACTTTGTAAACTGGCTTAAAAAGAAGGGAGAGAGAAAACAAGGTCTGCTTCAGCTCACCTTTTGCCTCTTTTGTTTAAGGTCACTGCTGAGGTTGGAAAGCTCCTGGGTGACCAGAAAGTAGACGCGATTCTCTGTGTGGCTGGAGGATGGGCCGGGGGCAATGCCAAATCCAAGTGTGAGTCCCTTCCCGAGTTAATTATTGCTTCTGCCCTGCTCTTTGTCTAGCTGACGCGGCTCTGGTCTAGATGAGGCACCAGGCCAGCTGGCTTTCTGTTTGTCTTTTGGGATCCTGGCCCCAGCTCTGCCTCTTCATTTGATTCGTGATGATAGCAGTGGGTAATTTGTAGGGCTTGACTACTCACCAGTTCCGCAGGCTGGGAAGTCCAGGGCTGAAGTTCGTTCGGTGTCTAGTGAGAGTTTTCTTTCAGCATTATCCCACAGAGGAGGGTGGGCTGTGAAGAGAGCCTGGGAACCGGGGAGGTGGGGGCTGACAGTGCGACATGTGTTACCACCTGTTCCTTTCCAGTCTCTGGAATGGCTAGAGGGCTAAGGCAGCTGTGAAATGGTTGCTGTTCCTGCTCTCTTTTACAGACTCTTAAAGGCTCTCATTAACTTCATCCATGAAAATGTAACTCTGTAAAAACCCTCTTTATGGCCGCAGGGTGATCGTTGCATGGATTTTTATCAGGGGTAGAAGCCAGAATAGGGATAGAAGTCCCTTTTACAAATCTAACGGCCTTCATAAAGTATAACCATTTTTGAAGCCATGTCAGTCTGGTGAGTCTGTTGACCCCAGGTTTATTTGCTAAAATTTATTGGCTGAAATTTTGGCAGTTAGCATGTGAGGAAGCTGAGACCCAGGGGACAGCATGACCTGTGTTTAAACCTGTGCCTCTGACCACTGAGGTCTGTTCTGTTTTTTTTAGACCTCCTTGGTAGACCAGCAGGGCCTGGAGGGCTTCTTGTCGTGCAGGGCAGTGTGAGTTGAACTTGCCTTCTGGGTTCTTCTCTGGGAATGATGAGCCTGCATTTTTTTTGCCCTTTTCCCAGCACTCTTTAAAAACTGTGACCTGATGTGGAAGCAGAGTATGTGGACATCCACCATCTCCAGCCACTTGGCCACAAAGCACCTGAAGGAAGGAGGCCTCTTGACCCTGGCTGGGGCCAAAGCTGCCTTGGATGGGACTCCTGGTAAGCCTTCATTTTGTGCAGTGTGAATTCTGCTGGGGCTACTGCATACATCTTGGGTTGAGGAGGTGCGGTTCCCTTCCTGCTCTCAGGAGCTTTCCTATTGGGGAGATTTAATTTCTCTTATGCCAGAGTCGTCTTATGGGGAGCAGTCTTAATCTTCTTGTTTGCATTTGTCCCCAGCTCATGGTACTGTAATTTGGCACCCCGTCTGGTTTATGATCTGTGATCAATAGATGGATAAACAGTAAATGGGATGTAGATTGGTTACCACTCACATCTTACCATTACATTGTAATCATGGGCCTCAGGGAAATATTTTGGCAGGCAGATTCTCGACCCTGATTCTCTGGTCAAATGTTTGCCACAGTTTCTTTAGTTGTAAAACAATGACAATATTACCTAACTTAAGAGCAACCACAGAGTTGTTGACACATAGTGCCTACCACATGGTAGGTCTTACAGTATCACATCATATTATTATATATACTTTCCACTTCACATTTATTTTTGTTGAATCATGGTGTAGGCATCATTGTTACCTTTTCAATTCCTTGGTTAGAAAAGCAAATTTGGAGAGTTAAATAAATTGTCCAGATTTATTTAATGAATCTGTAGTGAATATACTTTGAACCAAACCCCTGATCAGTTCTAAATTGTGAGCTGTTTCCATTCCATCATGAAGACTCTTTCTTTTGCATTCTTATTCCCTGTATTCTTTTGCTGGGCCTGCCGTGCCTTGGCCTACTCAATTAACAGACACATGTTTCCTAACGATTCTAGAGGCGAGATGTCTAAGATCAGGATGTTGGTGTGGTTGGTTTCGAGGCCTTACTCATGGGCTTGTAGATGGCTGCCTTGTTGTATCCTAGATGATCATCCCTCTGTTTGTCTGGGTCCTAAGTTCTACCCCTGAGAAGCACATTGGCCCTTCTAGATTAGGGTTGCACCCTAATGACCTCATTTTAACTTAATTACCACTTTAAAGACCTTGTCTCTAAATACAGTAATTTTCTGAATTATTGGGAGATTATGACAAAATATAAATTTGGGGTGCGGGGTGCATTTTATGTCATACATTCATTTAGGGCCAAGGCTAAAGGGACTTAAGTAAGGGCCACAGAGGGTGGGCACTAAGTCCTATGTGTACTGCCTGGCTTTAAGAGGTACGCTTCTTTGAATGTGAGTGGTAGAGATCTTGGGGCACCTTCTCAGTTTTAATGTAACTCACTGAACCATGAGGCTCTTGCTAATTAGTAATTTCTTGCTGCTCATCTCGTTTCGTAGAGCATAAGATCTAACAGGTCTGTGGCTGTTGCAATAATTAAAGCTGTGTAAATGTTAGATGTCTGTCTGGTTCAGAGCTGGTTTTTATTAAAAGTGACATAGGGCAGAGGCACTAGAAAGTAAATAGAGAAATGAGTAATAGGTTGACATTTCAAAAACAAAACCCCAGCATTGAAAGACTCGTTTTTTAAAGGACAAAGCAGGCTCCCGTTTCCTTTGGTTTACAAGTACAGATGGTTCCACATGATGGTTCATCTTAATGATCCTTCTGCTTGGCAGCCATTCTGTGCTGTGGTTGGAAGCCACTCTTGAGGGACTCTATGATCACGTTATAAGTTGGAAGAAAGTGTCCAGCGTAGCTGTATGCACTTTTTTTTTTTTTTATATTTTGCAAATGATCTCATATCTGTGCTGTTCTGTTGAATTAAGCCATGGGTTGCTGGTTGCTCATTTCTTTCCTCCCAAAGCTTTTTGGCCTTCACAGTGTTGGAATGAAAAGGTAGAGAGCGCTCTGTACTTTGCTGAGTTGTATTTTTAAACCACCACTGGCTTAGGTGAAGGATGGTGAAATACTCCTCTAAGTAGCTTCTTGAGACCTTGACCCTCTTTGGTAATCAGCATTGTTGCTGAAGCTGGTCAGTGATTGGTCCCGGGACTGGGCTGTGAATCCCACCTCCCTAGACTTAGGTTGCCTCTTCAGCTGTTGAACTTGTGGGCCTTCCATGACAACAGCATCACTGACTTGAGTTAGCAGAGCCTCAGTGAGTTGTGGGGGGAGAGGAAGCCTGAGGCAGCCTCTGCGCCAATGTCAAGATGTGCTCAAATGGATGCCCTGAATATGTGCAGCTGTTAATGCACATTACACCTTGGTCAATTACCATCTAAGCAGATGTCCTGGACAACTCAAGGGCAGAAAATGAGGGCCAAGAGAAGAGTCTGTCCTGCAAACAGTCTGTGGAGGAGCAGATATGACCAAGGATCCAGAGTCTGTTGAATAGAACTTAAGGGAGAAAATGGGATGGCAGTGTATTATTTTCGTTCATGTACTTTTTATTAGCTTGTTTTAACCAGTGTGTGTAGGAAACATTCATACGGTGCTTTAGGGACACATTTAATAGGGAGACTATCATCTGCTCAAGTGCCCGATCCCTACGACACTTCCTAGGTACAGTCAGTTGCAGACGTCAGACATCCTTTTGGAAGTATTCTGTGTGTGTTCTTGTGGGCATCCACACCATACTACTATTTCCATTCAGATATTTGTATATTAGAGAGGGCTTCATCCTGTGTAGTCTGGAATGAATTTGAACTTACACTCCAATTACTAGGATGGCAGGTGTGTGCCTCCATGGCCATCACATTCATATGAATAAAAAATGTATTGAGGGTTGGGGAGATGGGCACTTGCCACCAAGCCTGATGACCAGAATTCGATCCCTGGGACTCATGTGGTGGATGGAGAGAAACAACTTCCACAAGCTATCCTCTGATTCAAGCTATCTTTTGATTTCCATACATGTGCTATGGTATGTGCACACATGCCCAATCACACATACATGCACGCATACAAAATAAACAAACAAACAAACAAATAAATAAATGTAATTTAAAAGATGTATTGAATACCTCCTTCTGAGGCTGGGCATGGCAGCTCATGCCAGTAATCCACGGGCAGAGGTAGAGTTGCCATAAGTTTGAGGCCAAGCCAGGGCTATGTGGCTGCTTCTTGTCTAGCCAGGGCTATATAATAAGAACCCGTCTCAAAAAACAGAGGCTGGAGAGATGGTTCAGTGGCTTAAGCACATGATGCTCTTGCAGAGGACCTGAGTTGGGTTCCCAGCACTCACATCAGGAAGCTCACAACCACCTCTAACTCCAGTTCCAGGGGGACTGATGCCTCGGGGCTCCAGGGCTACCTGCACTCACGTGTCGTGATGGCTGTGGCTGGGAGGACTACTGATTCTCCTTGACTCACAGTGCTGAGGAATCATTGCGTGTCGTGTCCTTAGCCATGACTTTCAACTTGGGTCCTGGGTTTCGCCCTTGGAGTCAGGGAGCTGCCTTGCATTTTCATATGCTTAGCACTGAATCCGGGGATTCTTGCTCAGAGGAGGCTCAATGACAGATGAGGGTTAAGGGGGTTTGGTGCCTGGAAGCAAGGAGTCCTTTTTAAGCACTAGCTAGCCTTTCTAGGCAGCAGAATGATGGCGATGGGCATGAAGATCATAGAGAAATTATGTCAAGGTCAGAGTTGTAACAGACAGCCATGTCAGAACACGCAGTCTGCTGCTCTGCATGTTGGATAAGGAAGGGAATGCCCACGATGGACAGTAGATTTCTACTCCACAGTGTGAATAACTGCACTAGTGAGGAACAGAAGGGAGAGTGGGAAAACACCTTCCTTTATGCCCCGGGCAGGCAGCTGAGTCAAGCCAGTCCTATGCCAAGCCGTGTCCTCATCAGCTCAGCAGTCCCTCACACCACCTGACCTCTGTGGCCTCCCCGGCTTTTCCTGGCTGATTTCTGGTCCTCAGTGCAGCCTCGTTGATGGGTTGGGTGTACACGTGAACAAGCAAGGCTAGACAATCTGTGACCATTTCAGTCATCCGGAAAACAGGTGTGAGAGCCCCACTTTTGAAGTGCCCAGTCTAGGACCTTTTGTACTTCTCCATGCCACCTGAAGAAGCGGAATGCCTGTCGACATGAGTGCCCTTTAAAAACCTGCATTCATAGGAACTGGCCAGAGGCCACACCCACGCCCACCCGTCCCATCATTACCTTTCTCTGGTTGCTGTTATTTTGGTAGGGCTAGTGATGGTGCCCTGCTTGGGGGATGCCAGGTATGGCTGTGGCTAAAGTCTTAAGGGACCAGAGAGCTGAGGAAATTGCACCTAATGTCTGTGTAACCAACTGTTTTCTTCACTTTCCCAGGGATGATCGGCTACGGCATGGCCAAGGGCGCCGTCCATCAGCTGTGCCAGAGCCTTGCGGGGAAGAACAGTGGCATGCCCCCCGGGGCTGCTGCCATTGCTGTGCTCCCGTAGGTGCCCAGGAGGTCCCATTGCTCACACCCTGCCCGCTGCCGAGATCGACATTTTGAGAGTCTCTTTCTGTCGTGCTTTGAGTGTGTGTCACCAAAGGCCCTTAAGCGCCTGCCTTACTGTATTCCTGTCACTGTACACAATGCCCTAGACTAGGTATTTTATAAGCCACAGAACTGTACTGATCACAGTTATATGGACTGGAAAGTCTTAGTTGAGGATGCCAGCAGGGTAGGTGTCTGCTGAGAGCTTGTTCCTGTAGATCAGTGGTTCTCAACCTTCCTAGTGCTCTGACCCTTTAATATAGTTCCTTATCTATTAGTTCCTGACCCCCAACCATAATTTTTTGTTGCTACTTCCTAACTGTAATTTTGCTACTGTTATGAATCATAATGTAAAAATCTGTATTTTCTGATCAGTTTTCACAGGGGTTTTGGACGACCCCTGTTCACAGGGGTTGTTTGGTCCCCAAAGGGGTTTCTACCCACAGGTTGAGAACTGCTGCTGTAGATGGTACCTTTTCTGCTAGCATATGGTAGAAGGGCAAACAGGCTTCCTCAGCCCCCTTCTGTAAGTGTTCCAGTCCATCTATGGGGCCACACCCCGACCTAATTATCTCCTAAAGGCCCTACTCCTGTTAACTGCAGGCTGGGTCTCAACCTAGGACTCTGGGCTGGGAGGTACAGTCAGCCCGTCACAGTATTTCAGGGTTTTGATGATCCGTCTTGAGGGATGTGTCTATCTTTTTTTTTTTTTTTTTTTTTTTTTTTTTTTTTTTTTTTTTTTTTTTTTTTTTTTGCCTCTTTTGTGTTTTCTTTTCTTCTCTACTCCTACTTTCAAAGTGTCTATACACTTTATTTTACTTTATATAGTTTTTTTCTGTTTTCACATTGTTATAAAGCCAGTGTGTGTTTGTGTGCGTGTGTGTGTTTGTGTAGCCAGGCATGGGCAGCAGTGTGGGGGAAATGAGGTAGGAGATCATGGGAATCTATGGGTGCATTTCTAACTGACCAGGAAGCGAATCCCTACTCAGCTGTCTCAGGCAGAAGTTGCTGCCTTGGACATGGCATGTTCTTTCTCAGTGCCTCTTGCTTCCGGTTTGTGAAGGGCCTGGGGCAGCTCAGGGACTAGCTAGCTTTCCAGTCTTTCACTTAGGAGGTTTTATGACTGAGCTGCCTCCGGGCTGTTCTGACTGATGTCTGAGGCCCAAATGTTTTGTACCATTTTGTATTCTCTTCTTGAAAATCCTAAGTTTCTTGGAAGGCAGCCATATACTTAAAAATAATACTTTACAATTTTGATATTTTGAGGAATATTATTTCACATAAATCCTTGGAAATGAGTCTGCTGCATTTTAGAGTGTACCCGCGGACTTAATAAAGTACTTGCCTTTGATAAAGGCTGTATTTGACGTAAAGGTAAAATGTGACTCTCCCTGTTTTGTTCTTGTCTGCCCTAGTGTGAGTCACAAAGAGCCTTATTGGATTTCCCTCAGATGTGATTTTTGTTAATGTGGACAGCTTGCCGGTCTCTGATTATCCTGTCTGATCTCTGCATGTAAATGTCATGCTCAGGACCAGAGGCTCCCAAGGCTGATGCTGTGTTTGTCTCTTCATGCTCGAGAACTAGACTCCTGTTATTACAAAGACGATGCCCAAATGACACACTTATCTCTACACTGCAGGGTTACCCTGGATACTCCAATGAACAGGAAATCAATGCCCGAGGCAGACTTCAGCTCCTGGACACCCTTAGAGTTCCTGGTTGAGTGAGTATCACAGAAGGGGTGGTGACTAAGCAGCCTCCAGTCTCTGTCCCCTGCCCTTTGGGGACTCTCAGTGATGCGGGGTAAGGTTCTGGGGCTCTGAGAGCCTGAGGCACCTGCATTTGGAGAAGAGCAATTGTGTGGAGGGATTACTAGCCCTGACATGAGTCCTGACTCCTTTTCTTCTCCCTGCCTGACGGAAGTGAGCATATTTGCAAACTGCCCTAGGACACAGACGGCTTGCCTGTGTGTAATGAGGTCCATGGTGACGGTGCAGAGAATGAAACGTGGTCGTGTGTGTTAAACACCTGACAGTGTGGCTGACCCATAGCACGTGTTCAGTAACCCCCATCTCCTGGTTATAAATCGGCAGTGTATCCAGGAGTAACTCTGAGGCAGGAAGATGGGGAGGAAGTCTCAGTCATATATCTCAGTCAATGCTGACTTACAGATGTAGGGTTGTGAGCTGCCTGGTGTGCATGCTGGGGAACTGAACTCGAGTCCTCTACAAAAACAGTATGCATTCTTAACCACTGAGACATCTATGTCTCTATCCCTTCCACCTCACGTTATGAGACAGTCTCTCACTGGACCGGAAACTCACTGTTTCTGCCATACTGGCTGGCACACAAACACCAGAGAGCTTCTCGCCTTTGCCTCCCCAGCACTGGGATTCTAGGCATGGATAGCTGTGCTTGACTTTTTTTTTTTTTTTTTTTTTTTTTAATGTGAGTTCTGGAGATCTAAATTAGAGCCCCAGGCTTTTGTGACAAGTACTCTACTGAGTGAGGCATCTCCTCCGCTCACACATCCTGTTTCTTTAACCCTCGTAGAAAATTATTTTTATGTGACTGAGTATCCTGCCCAAAGACTAGCAAACCTAGGCTCTTATTTAGGCAGTATGGCTGCGGGCCTGTGGGCCTGCTAACCACACAGGGAGCTGGGCGTTATGCTTTAATACTTGATTGAGAAAGGGAGTTGCAGAAGACACCATGATTTGATTTGTGATTGCTTTTACATTTCTCCTTAAAGGCCAATGTTCCCACAACGCTTGAGTGAGATATTAACCTAGTATCTAGACTCTGGACCCGACATTGAGGCTGCTGGGCCTGAATTCATGCCCATGCACAGGTTCCCCGACAAGGGCTGTCAGACACCCCTTTCCTCTAGCAACCACTTTACCCACTTGAAACTCACTTGACAAGTTAGAGTGAAGTTTGTTTGAAATGCTTGTGAGTACATGACTTTCTTTACCCGTAATGGTAAGCATGCCCTCTCTGTCACCCACTCCACACTGCTGGAGAGGCCAAAGGCAGGACAGGCATGTGTGATGAATACAGAGACCCTTTGTCTCTCTCAAAGACACCCAGCTCAACTCTAGTCCAGAGATGGGACCATGACCAGTGACAGTATTTCAGGCTGTTTTAGCAATGCTCTGGGTTTGAAGACTATACACTTTCTATACACTATATCCAGAGAAGGAGCCTGAGTGTCTGGCAGCTGACTGTCAAGTCCAGTCCACAGGGTTGCATGTTGGGACCACAGAGCATCCTAAGAGCTGAGTGTTTTCCAGGTAGAGGTCTGAAGTCCTGGCAGTGGATCCTCAGGTGGATGGTACTCAAGGGTACTCAAATGTAAATGCTTTACTGTTAGACACTGTTACCTGCTTGTTGCTGTTTCTTGGAAATTTTGCGCCTTTTTTCTCCCTGGTTTTGAAACTTCATAAACAGGGTCTTCCTTTGTTCCGCAGAGGCTTAGGTACCCCTCTCCACAAACAGCTAGTTGTTTTAAGTCCTGATATATTCTACTACAACAGCCTGCTTTTTATATCTTGCCTTGGGTACCCCATACATGTTTGCTAAAATTAAAGAAGGAATTTGGGTTCTTTTAAACTTGAGAAGAAATAGAGCATAAGCTGGCTTTCTTTATCTGTGGGTTCTCATGCACCAATTCAGCCAACTTCACATCAAAACCACTGAAAGAAATGCTTCGTACTAAGTAGGAGATCCCCCCCCCCTTGTCGTTTTCCTAAAGACAGTGCAGTTCAACAGTTGCTTATAAGGTGGGATGTGTGGTGTGAGTTACTGTCAGTAATCTGGGGGTGGTTTGGGGAATATATGGAGAATGTGTGTGGGTTATATGCAGATAGCATGCCCCTTACTTAAAGGGTCTGAGTGACCTTCTTGGATGTTGGGGTCCTTGGAAGTCTAGGAAACTAGACCTCCATAGGTACTCAGGGATGCCTGTATGGTACATTTATCTGTCTCTTACAGTTAATCATCTAAAATCCATTTTATTAGTTAAACTCATACTACTGTGTTGTGAAGCATTTTGTCCATGTAGAAAAGGACAAAAGTGAAAGCTATGATTACATTAATTCCTGGTCAGGCACTGAGGTCTTTGGGGACCCGTTTATATATTCCTGATGTCTAGTGACTTTCTCATAGCTCCCCCCAGAAACCACCTTTCACACCCAAGGCCACCAGTATGAATATTAGCATGTACCCAGCGTTTTGCTTTAAGAATGTAAAATATATTTTCTTATTCTAGAACCTTCCATGATTGGATCACTGGGAATAAACGGCCGAACTCAGGAAGCCTAATCCAGGTGGTAACCACAGAAGGGAAGACAGAGCTTACTCCAGCGTACTTTTAAGCCTCATCTCAGTGCCTGGGAGAGCCCTCTCGAAGCATCACTAACCTGTGTGTGGCTGCATCTGGCCCCGTGTTTTCTGTATGCCTGTTTGTGGTACGAGATAACCAGTCCTGTTTGTCCCTTCCATAGTGTTCCTGTGCGTCCTGGGACGGTGTGGTGTTTAGGAAATGGGCAGAGAGGCCTGTAGGTGGCACTGTCATTGCCTAGGGCCCAGGTGTGTGGGCAGCCTGCGTCATGGCAGCCTGGGTTGCTCTGGAGACTCTCAGTAGTCCTCTCATTTGTTGGCATTTGGGCACTTGGAAGTCTAGCCTGTTTTTGAATTCCATGTTGGTGCCATAGAGGTGATTTTTGTGGCCTGAAATTGAACTGTCTTGAAAATTCTTTTGTGATGTAAGCAAACCCAACCGACTGTCATGATATCCTTTTGTGTCCTAGTCTAAGCTAAGTGTGCGGGAGAACCACCTGTGAGTATTTGGGGGGTTCTTCCTAATAAACACACTTCATGTCTTGTGGTGTCTTTTTTACTCAAGTCCTGACTTACATACAGTGGTCCTAGGAGAGTGGAACCATGAGGTACGGGGTCTCCTGGTGTCTTAAAAGAGGGTAGAGTTGATCTGAAACAAGTGTTTTCTGCATGGGAACGCAGGCTCCAGCCTGCTATGGACACATGACTAGAGGGCGGGATTGCTCTGTGAGGTCAGAAGCAGCTCTCCATGTGACTGATTCACACTGTTCTGGCTAAGGAGTTGTGATGTAATCCAGTCTGGTCAATTAGCTGGGGAAACTGAGGCCCAGGGAGATAATTAGCATTGTCATTGCTGCTAGCACTTGCATAAGGCCAGAATCCCATCACCAGATGGTTGCCGGTTATAAAGACCTTCAGTTTGCTTTCTCCTTCATCAAGTGACACACCACCAGCCGTTTGAAATAAAGACCTTCAGTTTGCTTTCTCTTTCATCAAGTGACACACCACCAGCCGTTTGAAGGCAAGGGCTTCAGCTTTTGGGACACAACTCTGGTGTACAGCCATCACCTCTAGTTCCAAAGTATTTTCGTTGGCAAAGTCAAATCCAGGGCTCGTAAGCAGTTCTCAGTGCTCCCTCCCTCTGGCTCCTGCCTCCACTCATCTGCTTCTGTTTCAGTGGATTTTTCTCTTCTGGGTATTTCATAACACCTGACATCTTATGTCTGGCTCACACATGGCATGGTCTCCGTACCCTCCCTCTCTAGACTGTGTATGAGTACATGTTTCCTGGTGATGGAGGAGTAAGAGTCCCTTGTATCAGAAGACATTTTGTTCATCCAGTTGACATGTGGATACACTCTTGGGCTCTCTCCTTTTTTGGGATGTTGTAACATATACTGTAAACATTCCTATTCAGGTGCTTGAGTGTCTGTCTTCAGTCTGCAGGCAAGCAAGGGTGACTAGAGCATCGAAATAAGCGGGGTAACTGGTACCAAAGTTATGCTGAGAAGATCAAGGACTGAGTTTGCTAAAATATAGAGAAGGGTTGAAGAGATGGCTCAGTGGTTAAGAGCACTGGCTGCTCTTTTCAGAGGACCTGGGTTTGATTCCCAGCACTCACATGGTGCCTCACAACTACCTGGAACTCCACTTCTAGGGGATCTGATGCCTTCTCATGTGCACAGACACACATGCTGACATAACACCCATACACATAAAAGTGAGCTTTAAAAGAAAGAGTAATGTAAATGACACTAGTCCGTCCATCTTGTGCTACTGCAATGGAAATACTAGAGGCTAGTAACAAAAAAAAAAAAAAAAAAAGGTTCGTGTTGCTTGCGTTTACTGGAGAGTGGGTAACTATAAAGAAAATAGGTTTCTGTTGCTCACATTTCAAGAGGCTCAAGGCCCACATGTGATGGGGGGTTAAGCTTTAGCACATCGACAGTCAGGGAGCACAGATCATATCCAAATAATAGCAGACACTGACGGGAGACAGGCAGGGAGGCAAGAGAAGAACTAAGGCCGCAGTGTCCTGAGGCTAAAGAGCATGTGGCAGGGAGAGCTGGACGGTGATGTTAAATGCTGCCGAGAAGAAAAATGAAAGCTGCGAACTAGCTGCTGGCCACCGGCACTGTGATCTGGAAGAGAGGCTTCAGGAGAGTAGCCGGCGTGGGAAGAGGAGTGAGCCTTAGTATGGGTGGAGAGGAATTGCTGTAGAGACACCACTAACTCATACCTGGTGGAGTCTTGTGAACTTAGTCCTTGAATATAATCTACAAGGGTCTACCAGGTTTTGGCTCTGCTTTGTTCTCATAGGTAGGCTTTATTGCTAAAGTTTATTGAGGAGCTGGTCTGCTACATGGACTTTAATACTGGCTTCCTGGGTTTCAGGTTCCCTCAGCTTGTCTGGACTGTGTACCCCTAGGTGCTCGTTTTCAGCCAGATTGTTCTCAAAATGGATTTTGCTGGCTGGGAGGTCAGCCTGCATGTTTCTGGAAGCTGGGCTTGCTCATTGCTTCTGGAATGATCAGAGCTTCATGGCATGGCTGGAGAGTGCTAGGAAGGCAGCCTGTTGTGGTCTGTTCCAGTAAGCTCTTGAGACCTTTTCTTTGCAGCTTTGAGCTTGAGTTCAACTCACCCACAGCAGTGGGCTAGAGAAACAGGGAGTCTGAAGAGGTCAGCCTGCATGGGACTCAGTTCTTCCACTTATTTCTGTACAACCCTGAATGTCTGCATTTATCTCTCATGTCTCAGTCATAGGATGAAGTCATAATGTTCTTCAAGGATGAACCGAATATAGGCTAAGGGCCTGATATATTTAAGTGCTCAGAAAAAAGCCCATCCATGTGATAGTATGTATCAACAGCTCATTTTGTGTGTGTGTGTGTGTGTGTGTGTGTGTGTGTGTGTGTGTGTGTGTGTATACATGTATGAGCAGGTATGTGAGCATGTGTGCACACATGGAAACCAGAGATCAATTTCAGATGTTATTCTACCATCTACTTTGTTTTCAGAGACAGGTCTTTCACTAGGACCCAAGGTTCACTCATAGGGCTAGGCTGGCTGGTGAATGAGCCCCAGGATCCGCCTGTCTCCATCTTCCCAGTGCTGGGATCACAAGTGTGCACCATGGTGCCCTGCTTTTCACATGGGTGCAGGGGATTGAACTCAGGTCTTCTTGATTCTGTGGCAAGCACTTTATTGACTGAGCTATCTTATAGTTTAAGTGTTTTTATTAACATTTTTAGTTAGTATACAAAACAATGGATTTCATGACACGTACATGTCATGTATGCCCTTGCACCTCGCTCATACTTCCCACCACTCTCACCGCTTCTTCTCAACTGGGACTACCCCTTCAACAGTACCCATCTATTTTCATGTCATATGCATGTATATATGTTATATACACACATATATAATATACACAGACACTCACATGTAAGTCAGGCTATATTCTGCATATGAGAGAAAGTGTGAATACATTCTACCTTAAGGTCTTCTCCTCCTCCCCCTTGTTCTAGATCCCTTCCTCCTCATAGTACCCCTTCTGCTTTGATATCATGTATATTTATTCATACTCATCTTGTTCCCCAAATGGAAGAAAACATTTGTCCTTTCCTTCTCTTTTTTATTGATTCCTTACCTAACCTCTGTTATTTCTTTGCACATACTACTTTGAGTTTGTCTTGCTCTTGTTTATATAAAACCATGAGGTGCATCATTACATTATTTATTCTTTATTATTTTTAATGTAACTACATCTCTAAATTTTATAGAACAAACTTTTCTGTCATTTTTATTAAAATGTGACTCATTTTTATTTCCAAATAATATCTCATATGGATGTATCACCTCCACTTAGCAGCTACTAGACATTTGAATTCCTTTAGCCTTTTGGCCATTATGAAGTGTACTATGATTATTCATGGGCGAATTTATTTGTATGTTTTCATTTTGTTGCATATGTGCCAATGAATATAATTTCTGAATATGAGATGGTTAAGTCTGTGTTTATTTTTGAAGTTGCCACACTGTTTTCCAAACCAGTGCCACCATTTGACTTTTCTGTTGGAAATGCAAAATAGTTACAGTTGCACCACACTGTAGCTGGAGTTTTCTTCAGTCTTGCCCAGCCCCATGGACCCCACAACCGCTTATAAAATAATCACTCAGAGGCTCATATTAATTAAACTGCTTGGCAGTTAGCTCAGGCCTACCACTATCTAGCTTTTACACTTATACTCAGCCCATTTCTATTAATCTATACCTTGCCACGTGGCTTGTGGCTTACCGGTAACTTACATCTTGCTAAAGGTAACTTACATCTTGTTACTCATCTCAGGGGCTGGCAGCATCATCTGACTCAGACTTCTTCCACCCAGCATTCTCTCTTCTTGTCCCCCCTACACTATCTTTCCTGACTGGCTACTGGCCAATCAGCATTTTATTTATCAATCAGTCATAGCAACATATATTCATAGCATGCAGGACATCCCACAGCACCACACACTAGACTTAACATGTTATTGTCTGTCATTTTGGTTATGGTTATTCTAGTGGATGTCATATGTTCTTTCACTGTGCTTTTGATTTGTATTCCCCTCACTGATGATACCATCTTTTCATGTGCTGGTGGCCATTTGTGTTTTGCTCCTTTGCCCATTTTCAATTATGTTACTTTTTATTGAATAAAAATCAGGAGCTGGGGTGGGAGCCCTGGTGGAAGATGGAGGGAGAGGGGTAGAGATGAAGTGTCCTGTTCCAGGTACATCTCAAGGGTAGTGAGTCCTGCCGCGGTGGTGTCTCTGTAGCCCCTGATCCTGATGACCAGCCCCTCTATCAGGATCAGCTCTCTAGTGTGTCTACTCTTCCTTCTGACTCTCAGCCATGAGGTAGTGGGGCCTTCTGACCATGGCTAAATGTGATTACACAATCTCATTTGGGTTCTAGATTTTTCCATTACTCATAAGACTCACTCATATTAAATTCTGCTGGCATGTGTTCAGGCTGGTCAGTGAAATAAGAATGTTAATATCCCGTCTGGGGGCTCTGGGTTAATTTCTGGAAAGAGGATTATGGGCAGATGATTTTCTAGAATATTCTTAGCATTAAGAGACCATCTGCGGGCCTAAGGACACCCCTGGGTTAAATGAGTCCCTTTCCTAAGTTTCTCAAGAAACCGGAGTCTATGCTTTAATTTCCTCAGGTTTCTGGATATATTGTTTATTTCTGGGGGAATTATATACTATATTTTTTCCAAATTATTTTTGTCCCTGGATAGGTAATATGGGCTGTGAATCAAAATGAAAGAAAAACTAGAATGTTCCACCTCATCAGTTCCCTCAGAACCGTGCACTAGAACAGTGAGGTGGCCGCAGTGAGAGCTGCCAGGTTAGGGGGGTTTGTATTTTAGTGCATGTGCGAAGGCCATTTAACAGAACTTCTTCGGGAAGTAATCCAGTGGTCTCCATCAGTACTCTAAGAACTTTACATCATCTGAGCTAATAATTCCACTAGATGCTAGGTAAGAACCAGAC